TTTGGATTATCCTGTTATTTATGAACATTTCCAAACAGTGTGGTTCTTGGTTATTTGGCAAGCCTGCTGGGAATTCTGGGAGCTCTAGTCCCAGCACCTGCAATGCTTATGTCAACAGTATTTCATCTTGACAAAACCTGCATTGTGGAGGCAACCTATATCCATCCCAAAAGCCAGAATGTAATTGTATTGTTTTTAATGATTCATCAAATAACATTCTTTTTTCTTTGTATAGGTGAAAATTGAGAATGAATTCAGCACTGAATTTTACAACAGTTCCTGGTCTTATAAGAAAGAAACAGAAATGTAATTGTATTGTTTTTAATGATTCATCAAATAACATTCTTTTTTCTTTGTATAGGTGAAAATTGAGAATGAATTCAGCACTGAATTTTACAACAGTTCCTGGTCTTATAAGAAAGAAACAGAGCGTCTTCAAACTGGAAATAATTACCATCGATACACACCAAGGAAATCTGAACAGGGCCATTCAGAGGTATATGTGGTTTTCCTTTGCTTTCTTCCTTCTTCAAGCGTTAAAAAGGTGAAACAGACTTATCTTTGGAAGGGGGACTTTTAGAGATTTACAGCATCTTCAAAATTACCTGCACAATCAGAAATGTAACATCAGTTGGCTCTTGTGACAAAATACAAGTTCAGCTAGTTTCTTGAGGCCAAGAACTATTTCCATTTTGCTGGGAATACGACCCACTGTACATTCACAGTGCTTTAGAAAAGAGTTACTCCACTTTCCTACTAATCAAGTACCCAACGTGAAATTGACCATTCTGCTAGTGAATGTAGTGTGGTATTCTTCTCTTTTCTTCATCTTCTAACACATATCCAAAATATGTTCTGGAAATGGGATGATCTGCAGCAGATTTTGAGGATGCTGTAGATGGTGGGGAGCTGAAGAAAGGAGAGACATCCTCTCCTATTCCATCAACAGAAACCGCTTCCAGTGACTCTAGTAAACTCAGGTCATTAAGACAAGTTCAGCTCTTGGAGACTTCAGGAATATGTCTGTGGAATGATCTAGGCAACAGTACAGAGGTGATTGGTAAGGATTTCCTATATAGTATGTTTCTCATTCAAATCTTAACAAGAACTGACCTTCCTCAGGATCAGCTAAGGTCA